TATAATAGTTAGAATCGTGCAAAACAATTCTTTTATAGAATGGAACATGGGGTAAAGAAGAAAGAGTGTCAAATCCATTCAAACATGGTGCTGAATTCGATCTGAGTGTTCGAGCGCATGCGGATAAATTCGAAATATCGGCTAACCACAAGGAAGTTCGTGAATACAAGATGCGTCTCCCACTCAGTTCAATCGAATACTTCACTGTGACTGGTGATGTGAGGCTGAAGGGTGTGCACTGGGGTGGTCGTTACTACACTCTTCCGTTCGAAACTCAGTTCCCAGGTGGTCATCTGAAGAGTGGTGAGCGGTTAAGTGGTGTTTTCTTTTCTTGTTTTGATTCCTGGGGTCGTGTGGCAAACATTTGACGCTTTGAAACTGTAGTGGATCGTTTTACTGAAGAAGCGACCTTAACGATTGCTGCAGATTCCTTCAACAATACGCATTTGATTGTCCATTTGTATTTTGCTGGTTTCGATTAGATCTTCAACGCGGACAAATTATCAATTTCACAGAACATTTGTTTGATTATCACAACTGAATGTTAATCTTGACGAACACAAAGCAGTGGCGAACACTTCCTACTTCCTCTTAATTACGGGATGACCACGGATTAAGCATGAAGAACATAAAGTGAACATTGATTCATACCAAAAATCTCCTTAGAATTCATCAGCTGCAGTAAATTATGATCAGGATTAGCGTGTAAAGAGAGGATTTGTGAAAAATATGATGTNAATTCATCAGCTGCAGTAAATTATGATCAGGATTAGCGTGTAAAGAGAGGATTTGTGAAAAATATGATGTCCCGTAATTGAGAACGTATGTATCGTTGTGAATAACAGCTGACGATAATCGTTCAGGAGAACGCGTTTTCGTTTATGGTGAGCCGAAAGGGGAGCATTTCGCAATTAACTTCATTGCACGTAACGGTGATATTCTGTTCCATTTCAATCCCCGCTTCAAGGAGAAAAAAGTATCGCTTTGGCTATTCTTTACAATAAAATGATGTATTCTTATTGAATAGTGTTAGCAGTAGTGATAGATTCTTTAAAATTAACTTAACTTCATTAACTATTGTAAAGAGAGACTGCGTTTTCTAATAAGAAATACACCTAAACATGAAACATCAATCCATTGACTGATGTGGTAGAACGACCAAAAAAGGTGGCAATAACGTTTTTAAGCAATTATATTACTGAATTTATTGATTACAAAAATGCATTATTGAATTGTTTTTGCCAGCTAAANAACAAAAAATTCAGGTGGTGCGTAATGCGCAAATTGGTGGAATATGGGGATTGGAGGAGCGTGAAGGGCCGTTCCCGTTCAAGAAAGATATTAGCTTCGATCTTGCGTTCCTCAATGAACCTTATTCTATCCAGGTTTATTCGTTTGTTTTCCTCGAATTACACTTCCAAACTTTGAAATGAGCGATTTTCAAAATGACAACCACCTCATAACAAAGTTATCAGTTTCGATAATTACTAACAACAAATCGTTCGTTTCGACCATCAGATGAGAAATGCGAATGTACTCAGGATATTAATTATGACAGATATTCCACGATGGAGAACGCATTGGCACATTTGCGCATCGAACAAAGGATCCAGCCAACGATTACATGGGACTCAGTATTGCTGGCGATCTCGAGCTAACTGGACTTGAATTTTCACAGCATTAAACTTCGCTGTCATTTCCTACCACATGATTCCATCAATTCTGTTCCACTTTATATCCGTTCTATGTGCAGTAAATCCTAGTTCCTTTAAATTTTCGCTTCTTCTTTTCAGTTATGAATGAATTTATATTTCTTACGATAATGCTTATCACCTGCTATTGTAATAAAACGT